CACCATACAAAGAGAAAGACAATTTAAAAGAGATGTTCTTTTCCCGTCTCCATCTAAGAAGACACCTTTCCTGATCAAATATATACACAGCTTATTGGTGACTGACACAGCAGCAAGTCTTGTGGGAGGGGGACTGAGCACTGGGCTTCGATCAGTAGTTTTTGGGTTTATTTAGGAAAGTCACTGCTTTCTCTTGGGATTTAAGCAAGTCATGCTCTCTGAGTCTCAGTTGTCCGGGCCAATAAAAGGGAAAAACAAAAACCCCGCAACAAAGGCAACCGGGGAAGGGGCAACCCCAAAAGCGAATGCATGTGTCATCCAACTTCAGCCACTTTCTGAAGTCTCCACTCTCTGGGTCCGCATCATGCTTTCTCCCCAGGCCTGTTCCAGAGGCATCTCAGCCCATTTCCCCCACTTCCCCAAGAGCCAATCCACGATTGGGGGCCTGGAATGCAGAAAGCACAGGCTTAGTTTCAAAGAGAGGAGGGTTCGCATTGCAGCTAAGGCTTTCAACCTGTGTGAGCATAAACAAACGTCTTTACCTCCCATTTGTGAAATGGAAATAAACATGCAGGTTCCTGTAAGGGTTAAAATGAAGCTAATGTCTGTAAGAGCGCTGAGCACGGAGATGTGGGGCTCGCCGATTCTTGGCAAGATCTCTAGTTTGAAGGGTGATCAGTTAATATTTGTTGCATTAGTAATAATGGATTTGCTACTTATTTGACTTTCGCATGTTTGATTGAAGCAAATGGAAATGACTTATAGAGGACGTGTGGTTTGAGATTGTCCCAGACACTGTTGTCTTTTGCTGTGGTTATCTGGTATTCCCGAAGCAAGTGGCTTTTTATATCTGTGTGGTTAAAAAAATTGCCTTAAGTTACCACTAGATATTGCCTAAAAAAATCTGTCCACAATATTTTATTCTATAATATCTGCTTATCTTATGTAATTTGTTTCAGGAATAATGAGTCTGTGGCCTGCCAGCTCTGGGCCGTGAAATGTAGGACCGGCTGCTCTGCACGATCTGGTAACCGTGGTCGGTTGGAGGAGTGAAGCTGGTGGGCCATGAGATTGCAGTGCTATGTAGATGAGATGCACCTGTACGGATGTGTTTGGGATTTCCTGGGTAGAAAAGATGACAAACCAGCTGGTTTATTTTGTGGCGGGTTGAGAGGCTGGTGAGCATTATACCACAGACAAAACCTCTATAATTTTGTTACCAGGCCAATCTATTACATTACCTTCTGTCACGTTAAGTAACTGCCATGTGATATTAAAAAGCAGCATTTGGATTTTAGTCTGTTACATCATTCAAGATTTGGGAGTTGTAATTTAAATAGTATTAGAAGCTCAAGAATAATCTCTGATTTAAAAAGGTTTAACTTTCTAATCACTATGAGAAAATGTACAAAACCAGTTGGAATTTTTCTCATGCTCACAGAGTAGAGACTCTACCAGCTCTCAGAATTGGCAAGGGCTCCCAGCTATTGACAAGACCTCCAGAACTGCACCCCCAGAAGTGAGACAACCTCTCATGCTTCCGCTGGCGGAGGGCTGGCAAAGTGGCAATAGTGGCAGGACCTAGGAAGATGGAATTGTATGTCAGGACGTTTCATTTCATTTTAGAAAAGGACATGCTACTTTACAGAAATAAGGGTTTTTTGGTGTGTCTACAATAAGGGATGTTATATAGGATGAGTTTTAAGATATTTTCTGGCTTGAAAATGTGACATATGGGATCCATGACAGGTAAAATATGACTTTGACAGGTTCCCCCAATAGGTTTCCCGAACCCCCGTTCTCTTCGCTGGTGGAAAGCCCAACAGATTGATATTTATAAAATTCAATTTGATGGCTATGCCCTTGTTTAACATTCTTCAATGGCTCCCAGTTACTTTCAGGAAGCCAAAATAAAGCTTATTCAAAGCCCTTCACGATCAGGCCCCTGGCGGCCTCTGCACCTGTAGCCACTGCGAACACCTCGCCAGCCCTGTCCTATGGGCATTCTGGATTTCGTGCAGTTTGTGGTGTCCTTTCTCGTTTTTGTGCCTTTGCACATACTGTTCTCTCTGCCTGGGACACCCTTCCCTGTTGCCTTTGCCCGCTCCTGCTCACCCTTTAAGATGCAGCCAGGCACGGTTGCCAGAGGCCTTCCTTGGCACCTTCCTCCTGCCTCTGCATCCTTCTTTCTTTCCAAGGTTGTACCACGCGGCCATGAAATAATCTTCTTTTCTTATCGTTTTCCCTAGATTATGAACATATTGAGAGCAAGAGCTGTTTTACTTTTTCTCCCCTCTCTTTACATATCCCTAAGCATCCAGGACACTGCCTGGCATGTAAGAGGTGCTCATCAAATCTTTGTTGAATGAATAGAAAAATGAATAAGTCAAAATAGAGAATGTTGGAGTCACAATTTTGGTGCTGTTTATTTTGGGGATGCTTGATTATTTGTGGACGTCTGCTAGGCTCTCTCTAAAGTCTCTGGGTAGAATCTCCACATGACTTTGA